GACTCAGTGATTTTAGATTTTATGGGCAACATTAATGAATTGATAAGATGTTTCAATATTTGATGATGTGCACAGTAAAGAGAGAGAGATTGTACAAACCCAGGCTCTCTCCATTCACTATAGATAGACAATGAAATAATAACTATGTGGGTAAGTAACTTTATTTTTACTTTTCACATTCCCTGATGTACACTTACAGGTACCCTTTAAGAAAGCAGGAATTTTTTAAAGTATAAAACATCTGTCAGTGTGTATAATATGTAGGTGCATTTCTCATTCCAATTATATGGAAACAGAATTTTGAAAAACCATCTCTAATTCAGGGTGCCAATGGACCCGTATGAAAGTATGGATCTTTAATTCTCTCTCCCTTTGCCCACCCCTGAAAGGGAGTAATCATATTTGCCTGCCTTATAACAAGGACCATTATCATTTGTAGGTTCTTGTATGCCCTTTATCAACATTCCACCTGTGAGCAACTCTGTGATGGGGTGCGATGGCAGAAGATACCACGTAGGGCCTTGCTGGGGTGCTGAGACAGCCACTGACACTCCCCTTCTTGCTTTCTGGGGCTTCTCACCACCCTGTCCCGTTGGGCCAGATCACCTGGGCTATGTCTACACAGCTGCGTTATTTCGGAATTACTAATGTTATTCTGAAATAACATAGTCCATGACTACATACACACAGTTATTTTGACATAATGTCGAAACAATGTCGAGCTGGATGACTGCTTACTCCAACTACTGTAACCCTCATTGTAGAAGGAGTAAGGAAAGTCGAGGGAAGAGTGCTTTATCTCAAAATAAGTGCTGTGTAGACAGCTACTCAATTAGCGTAGCTCAAGTTGCATAGCTTATTTCGAGTTTAGCCCTGCTGTATAGATGTGCCCCTGGTCTGCAGCCAAGGCACAGAGCTGAGACCACCAACCCCTGAGAAGCAATGCGGACACTGAAACTCTTCAGTTCCAAGGAAAATGCAGTTTTGGTCCCAGCTACCAAAAGGGGATCAGAACTGAAAATGAATTATTTAGGGAAGCCCCCTTTAACAATGAAAGGAAGAATGGACACATTCATTGCTCCCCCAGATAGCAAATTTTTTACACAGAGCTTGATAGTAAATAAAAGTGATGTTATTAAGTACAAGCAGTAGGACGTAAATGACTGCAAGTGAAAACAGGAAGAGAAAAGTAGATTACAAATTTAAAATAACAATAAACACATAGCTAGTTTCAACACATAATTCAAACTTATTGCAAAATGTTTTTTATTCCACCTAAGCCTGCAAACCAGTGAAGACCTTTTTTCCCCCTAAGGTGTTTGGTTCATTCTTTTAGGAGTAACTTGCCAGACAAAGACAAATAACTGAAAAACTTTGCCTCTTAAATAGCCTTTCTTTCAAGCAGTAATTCTCAGTTTTATATTCTCCCAGTCCATGGAAAATTACCTGGTCAGCCTCTACCAGATGAGAAGGTCACATGACTTCCCAAGACTAGTCACTTTTAAGACTTAAAGGACAAAAGAGCTGTTTATAGCTGATCACCCCGACATTGAGGGAAACCTTTGATGGCTTTCATTTGCACATGTAAAACCACAAACCATTCCATACCCCATAGCTCCAACTTTACTTACAAGAGTGATACATGCACCAAAATAAGATACGCAAATCCAGAAGATCAAGACATTAAAACTGATGGGATGCATGAGGTATTTTATCCAAAGCATCTTTGAGTTATGCATATTTGTGTCCACAAGTCAATTTCATAAAGCATGGGAGGAGAGTGAAACCGTCACAACCACAAAATGTTTGTTGTTTTGATTGTCCTAACTTCCATGTCGGGACGGGTCCCAAGGCCATCCACCTAGTGTGGGAGTACAGGAGTGTTTGGGATGATCACATAGTTATGCTGAATGTCTGCCACCTGCTACAACTAATTATTTGACCTGTGAAAATATCCAATGTATCAACAATCTTGCCAGGTTCTCAAAACAACAGCTGTGAGTAATGTAGATACAACATTATATAAATGTAGGGGATATTCCTAACATCAGATCCTCGGCATAGACCGAAGCCATGGGAGGTGCTACGTACCGGCCATTGGGGTCCATCCACTGTCCTTCTTCAGGGGGTTCCCGGCAGCAGAAGGGACATAAGCATTGTATTTTATTCTGAGATTTGCTTAATAAAGTCTTTAAGCCTTCACAATCTATGTGCTTATTGCCTCCGAATCCTTTAAGAAAAGCACCATTGCCTCTTGGCAACACAAACTCATAAGCTTCTGATCATCGTTGTTCTGATAAAATGTGTGTGGTAACATTATGGCTGTGTCTACATTGGCATGATTTTGCGCAAAAGCAGGCGTTTTTGTGCAAAAACATGCTGCCTGTCTACACTGCCGGGGAGTTCTTGTGCAAGAACACTGACATTCTACTGTATGAAATCAGTGCTTCTTGCGCCAGAACTATGATGCTCCCGCTCAGGAAAAAGCTCTCTTGTGCAACTGTTCTTGCGCAAGAGGCCAGTGTAGACAGGCAACATGGATTTCTTGTGCAAGAAAGCCCAATGGCTAAAATGGCCATCAAAGCTTTCTTACGCAAGAGAGAGTCTACACTGGCACGGATGCTTTTGCACAAAAGCACATCTCTTGTGCAAAAGCACATGCCAGTGTAGATGCTCTCTTGCGCAAATACTTTAACGCAAAGACTCTTCATTAAAAGTATTTGCACAAAATCTTGCCAGTGTAGACGTAGCCTATATGTTGTAGCTGGTAGGCTAGTTTGCCTTTGTTATATTTAGTGCTACTGTATGCAGCTTCATTATATTCATTGTTACATTTTATACTGCATTGCATTAGATGCAGCAGATGCAAGTAACCTACAAGTTATAAGGTAGATAAGTGGATCTAGCACTCTGTAATTTTGGGCTTTGTTCCTAGCTCAACTATAGACCTCTTGTGTGACCTTGAATCAAGACGTCCATTTTTTCCGTGATTTAAGTTGGGACACTAAATAGAATAAAGTTTGCAAGGTGCTCAAAGACGCTACACTGATCTCGATCATGTCGACAGGTAATGAAACTGAGGCTGATCTTGATGGCACTTTCTCTGCATCAGTGCACCCTCCCCACTTCGGACCAACCACACTTTAACCCACATTATTCTCCAGATGGCAGCAATCTCTTCAGGGCACAATGCTGCGCTCTGTTATTTCAGCCTCTCTGCAGGACCAACCTCTTAATCCTGCCACTTACCTCAGTGGCCAAATGCAAACCAAGGTTCAGTCCTGACCACAGAGGCATTATGGGTACTAGATAGATTGGAAACCAGCCAGCCACCTCATTTGCAAGTGGGATGAAAAGGTGGGAGGAAGCAGGCCTGCGTGCTACTCTGGGTTGCAACTGAGGGATCCTATAGACGTCAGCTACTCACTGCCCCTTTTCCAAAATATCCCTGTTTCCTTGAGCCATTTCCCATATGCTTAGCCCCTTATTTATCCCTGCGTCACGGCTTCAGTCTGTCAGTCAGTCAGGCTGTGGCTCCGTTTAGCTCCCCCGACCGCACCCACCCCTGCTTTGGCTGTAGTGCTCCTCTTCAGGCAAACCATCCAGTCAGAATTCCAGGGAGCCTTCTGCTCAGTACCCCTTCTTATATTGTCCAGTCCACCCGACTGGCTGCTCCACTAAGCCTTCTCCCTACAGGTTGGGTCGACAAGCCCTCTTCTAATTGGCGAGGTTCTCTCCAAGGCTGCCTTAACCAATCTCCCACTGTGTGGCTCAGGCAACCCATCAAAAGGCCATATCAAGATTTCCAAACATTTGTGAACCCTATTGAAAGGCACATGAGTAGGGTCACTCCTATTCAGAGATGGGCAAACAGAGGCAGAAAGAATTAAATTCCCACATTTTCATTAGAGTCCATAGGCTCAGTGAATTGGTGAATGCCTTGGAAAATGCTGCTTCCAAACGCATGGAATGAGAAGAGGCCATTACAGACCCTTTCAGCTGGGTTATATCCAGCTTTACAGAGAAATGCCCAATTAACAATACAGAACCGATGTCAGGGGTCACATCCTGTTGTCTCCACCAAGCACAATGAGTGAACCAATCTGGCCTATTTTGGGAAGTCCGTAGTGAGAGAAGGACATAGAAGATCATAGTGACTGGTCTTCAATAGAGAGAAATTGCATCATTGGAT